TGTGGGGACCTTGTAATGTATTCTATAGAGGCTGCACAGCCTACAAATTTGAGTGAAGTAGCAAATCTGAGATTCAAACTAGGACTCACTCTACGAGAAGCCAGACAAGAAGCACGATGGAGAGGTTTTTCAATCACAACGTACTCTAGTACCTTACATCAATCCACTCCCATCCATACTACCCAAGTGGTCTATACATCTACAGCACCATTTTCCCCTGCTCCTCAACTTCCCATCTCTAATTCTCTTATCCCCCAATCAAATCCTTTTTCCATCCTAAATCCATATACTCCAATATCCACAACTCCCATGTCTCTTCCTACTTCACGCCTTGCCAGTTGCATCAGACAACCTAAACGCCCCACCCCATCCTCTCCTACTAGATCCCATCCCACACCTACACCCTCAAATTCTCAGATACCGATCTTCTCTTCACCTCCCCATAAAAGATCTTTCTTTTCCCAAACCTCTCCACCCAAATCCCCCTAGAAACCCTTGAGGACATAAGAAACTTTCTACGTATAACACAAGAGAAAGTCCCTCCTTCTCAACCATCTATTAATTTCTCTACCCAGACTCCGGCTGCATTCACAGTGACTGCCGAAATCCATCCTCCCCCTCCTGACATCCCCCCTTCCCCTATTTGTCCCACACCTTCCCAACACACTATATCTACACCACCACCCGCACCTAAACCAAAAACCCTTCCTTCCCTACTATCCCTACCAGTCCCTCCTGGATACACACGTAAATCCCTTCTAGCACAATGTCCTTCCCCAGATCCCACCTTTTTTGATGAACCTCAAGATTCTATACCTTCACCTTTTCCCCCTGATGATTCCCATGATGATTCTCTTGATACTACACTACCACCTCCATCCCCTGATCCCATACCTCAACCCACAGATACCCCTCCTCTTACTTCTCAGATACACATTGCCACCCATAACAGGTAAAGAATAATCCACAATGGCTCTACTACAGTGGAACATTAGAGGCTTTCGCTCACACAGACCTGATCTCTGCCATTTTCTCTCCTCTTACAATCCATCTATCGTCTGCCTCCAAGAAACCTTCCTCACACATCCTCCAGTACCAATTCCCAACTACCATTTTGTGTCACTCCCTCGTTCTATATTTGCTTCTTCCATACTTGTTCATCATAAAACACCATATATCATACCTCCTTTACAAACCACTATACCTTGCACAGTTATCTGGATTTTCCTCCATGCTGGATCACAATCATTTCAGTCTACTTCTCTCCTTCCCTCCCTATTGACTTCCTAGAATTTGAGACCTTACTTTCCCAACTCTAACCACCTTTCCTAATAGCTGGAGACTCTAACTGTCGCCATACTCTTTGGGGTGACTCTATTATCAATACAAGGGGTCGCTCCTTAGAACAATTTCTAACTAAAACTGACCTTATCCTCCTAAACTCCAACAGTCCCACTCATTTCGACCTACGCACTCAATCTTTTTCATGCCTAGATCTCTCTCTTTGTTCCCCTATCCTTCATATAGACTTCCACTGGTCTGTCCTAAACAATTTTCACTCTAGTGATCACTCCCAATTCTTCTTTCTTCAACATCCTATATCCCACTCCCAAATCCCCCTCGCTGGTGCTTTGATAGAGCAGACTGGAATACCTTTACCTCTCTATCTACTCTTGAAATTCCTCCATCATCATTCTCTACCACCTCAGAAATGCTCCAATACTTAACAACTAATGTCCTAAATACAGCCTATATAACCATCCCTGGAACATCCCAACCTTACACCTCAAAATGTGTTCCATGGTGGAACCTTCGAGTGTACAAAAGCACTTCGTCTGAAGCGCGCAGCTTGGAATAGCTACCTACACAAAAGAGGAACCCCCAGTCAATTGACAGCCTTCATATCTTTTAAAAAACCATCAGCCCATCTTCACCATACAATTCGTAACTCCATGACAAACAGCTTGCAAAACTATGTATCCTCCATAACATCCTCCATAATCTCTGCAGTTTGGCGGCGGATCCATAAGTTATCCAGAAAACATCCTCCTCATCCTGCCCCTTTCCTCCATATTCATAGTAACCTCATCTCTGACCCTCTTCAAGTAGCTACTGAACTAGGTGCCTTTTTTAACTAAGTCAGTAGTGGCTCTCATCTTTCTCCTCATTTGTCTTCCTTAAAATCAGACAAAGAGCGCATTCCTATCTCCTTCTCCCTATCATCTACAGAACCTTATAATGCACCCTTTTCTTCTGAGATCTATAATACACTTCAGTCATGCCGCAACACCCATGAAGGACGGTATACATTACCGTATGCTAAGATACCTTTCTCCTACTTCCTTATCCTTCCTTCTGTCAATATTCAATAACATATGGACGACTGGAAACTTTCCTCCCCACTGGAGAAAAGCCATAGTATTACCTTTCCTGAAACCTAACAAAACAGGTACTCTTCCCCAAGACTACTGCCCCATAGCCCTAACAAGCTGCCTATGTAAATTAATGGAATGAATGATAATTTTCAGATTGATGTGGTACCTAGAATACCACCAAATCATATCACCAAACCAATTCGGATTTCGTCGAGGCAAAAGCACAGCTAACCCACTAGCATATTCAGAAACACTAATCACTTCAGCATTTGCACGCCGTGAATCAGTATTAGCTGTCTTTTTCGATCTCGAAAAAGCATATGATGCTACTTGGCGGCACCATATACTACAACAGCTATCTTTCCACGGAATACGTGGAAACATGGATGTTTTTCTAAAATCCTTCCTCTCTGACCGCACCTTCCGTGTCAGATTTACCTCTTCCACTTCCCCCTCCTTTTCTCAGTTTGAAGGTGTCCCACAAGGCAGTGTACTGAGCACCACACTGTTCCTCATAGCTGTAAACGGATTAATATCCGCATTACCACCAAAAATCCGTTCATCACTGTATGTAGATGATCTAGCCATCTTCGTGTCCGACCGTTCCATGAAAGTTCTCCATCAACTTATCCAGTCGTCAATAACATCAATCTCTTCCTGGGCTATCAACCATGGCTTTCGTTTCTCTACTTCTAAAACCTTCTCTATCCTTTTTTCTTGTTCATGTATAGGCTCCCAACCTCAACTCCTCCTTTATGATACCCCCATCCAATCCCGATCTTCCGGCAAGTTTCTTGGAGTTATTTTCGACTCCAAGTTATCTTGGCGGGATCATATCCTTTCTATTAAAGAAAAAGCTTGCCATCGCCTCCGACTACTACAAACCCTCTCCCACCTGTCCTGGGAATCAGACCGCAAAACGCTCCTTCATCTCCATATTACTCTAATCCTCTCCACCCTTGACTATAGTTGCCATATGTATTCTTCTGCCTCTGCCTCTCTTCTCTCTCTCCTCGATCCTATCCACCATTGCGGTCTCCACTTAGCCCTAGGAGCTTTCCGATCCTCTCCAGTTGAGAGCCTATATGTTGAATCAGGACTACCATCCCTCTCTAGATGACGCGCTCTTCTGTCCCCTAAGAAACTATGCTCGCTTCCACCAATTTTCACTCTCCAAACTAACTCTCCCTCAACCTCTTCTTCGCATCTTATCTTCCTCTCCACGACTACCTGTCCCTTTCCCTGTTCATATGGACGCTCTTCTCTCCCATTCATCCTTTCCTCATCTCCGAATTCTTCCTCTTTCTATCCAAACTTTCCCTCCCTGGCTAGTACCAGTCTCTTTTAATTGCTCCTCTATTTTCCCTGATCTACCAAAGTCAAACATTCCACCTTCTATCCTTCTCACACATTTCCTTGCTCATATCTCTAGTCACTCCTCTAGCACTCATATCTATACTGATGGGTCTAAATCCAACTCAGGTGCTGGTTTTGCCGTAGTCTTTCCCTCTCAGACATACAGCTTTCCTCTTCCACCTGAATCAAGCGTCCTTACAACAGAACTATATGCTATACTCTTTGCTCTACAATGCATATCTTCCATCTCTTCCTCATCCTTCACCATCTTCACTGACTCACGTAACTCAATATCATTCATACAATCCATACACCCTACCAATCCTATAGCCCATAAAATACACAACCAGCTATTCTATCTGTCTACACAACAGAAAACAGTGATTTTTTGCTGGATACCCAGTCATGTCGGGATTCCCGGCAACGAAAAATTAGATAACTTAGCACGATCTGCTGCCCTGCCCACTAGTCATCAACCCCGTTTTTCACACATTCCAGCCACCGACTACTACCCTCACTTCAAAACTTTTCTTTACAACCGATGGCAATCCTTCTGGTCACATCTGTGCAACAACAAACTCCAAACTATAAAACCCTCAATCTCCCCTTGGTCAGCTCGATACCATCAAAACAGACGTTGGGAAACTGCCCTTTCCCGCCTACGAATAGGCCACACCAGAATCACTCACTCATACCTCATGTCACATCCCTCTAACCTACCTCTATACCCTACATGCAATGTCCTTCTCTCTGTCCCACATATCCTAATATCCTATCCTTGCTTTACCGAAGCCCGTATCCTTACTTTTCCTCACATATTCCATCTTCCCCGACCCCCCAACCTGTCAAACATCCTTACAGAATCCCCCACCTTTTTTATTGATAATTTATTCTCCTTCCTCAGATGCATAAATATCCTTCATTTGATCAATCACCCATCATCCTTAACCCTTCCTCTTCTCATCAATACCTATCCTACTCCCATCTACCATCTCCTCCTACTCCTTTAAATACTATACTATCATACAATAAATGACCATCGAAACTCAACATTTTAATTGTAATAAAGAATTTAAAAACCCTCCTAACACAATACTATACCATAGTGCTATATGACCTTTGATGTCTAGCACATTTATTTTCTTGTCATTATTACTTACTTACTTATAGGAACTATTAAGTAGAATGATTGCCTTTTACTACAATCACTACTTGAACATTGGGAAAGATCAAATATTTGAAATGTTTTGTTTTTATTTCTTCCTTCAGGGTGGTTTACAAGAATGGTTGAATCGTAGAGTTGGCTACACTTTCAGCTTTTTGCGATCATCCAGGTCTTAGCACTTTCATAGAAGTTATTCCTCAATTAAAAATATAGAATTGGAAAGTCAAGTAAGTGGAGCCATTTAGACGGGAGGAATTTAATCTTTCTAGTTTTATTTTCCTGGACAGTCTTGTAATTTTTGGTTTTGCAAAGAAATTATTATTTTCTCTAAATTCTCTTTGGTAGTATTTAAAAAGAGTAATAGGAGTTTAATTATCTCAAAGTCTGGATGATAATGCAGTGGTTTGCAAAAATCTTATTAGAGTAATATAGTGGTTAAACCAGTAGGAACCTTACCCAAGGGACATTGTTATGATGAATTTTGATTTTTGTGTAGTTGTGTGAGGGTTATATCATAAGATCATCAGGAAATATTGAAGATGATTGGATCCACATTAAGTTGTTTTTGGTTCTTATAATAATATTTATCCTGAATTTTTTTTTATGATGCATACATTCAATCTATTTTGTTACCTAGTGGCATGAATGACACCAATTGTAAGTTTTTTGTTTTGTTTTGTTTTTCATTTCTTTTCTTATCTACACTTTTGGAAAGTAAACACTAAAAGCTTTTTTGCTGTATAAAGTGTTTAGTCATTTATACTAAGAGATATTGAATGCTGCACTTTTTTGGCAGTAGGAAAGTATACAGCAAAAAAGCTTTTATATGTAAAAGTTTTTAGTCATGTATATTAAGAGATTTGAGAAAAGAACAAGATTGACAATTTTTGTATGTTTCTTTCCACTAAATATTTTCAGATGCAATTAGAAAGGGGGATTCCTAATTGTTTTTTGCTGTCTTTTTTGCAGGCAGTTGGAGCAGATGACGATTAGGGCGAAATCAGGAAGGCCAGTATTGTGTTTATAATGGCACATCCATAAACATCGTAAGGGAATTATTTTTTCAGATATTAAAAATATAGTCTAGTGGAAGGACTTCAAAGTCAAAGAGAAGGCAGACCTTATATAGTTTTTGCAAATAATTTGTTTTCAAAATATGTAGCAAAATTACCTACTGTTTTGCATGGAAACTATTAGCTTCACATTATTTTCTACATCAAGATGTAACTGTATTTTGTTATGTGTTGTAAAGGGAAGCCTTTTAAAGATTTATATCAAAGGAAAGAATTTTATGAGAATTTAATGCTATAATTGTAACTCCTCATCTTGCTTGGCCAGACTAGCAGAACAAGGAGGCTGTGTTCAAAATCCTCCGGTACCATCATTACCCATATTACAACGAGCTATAAAGTTTACTTTCTATATTAACCCAATGTACGTGGATGCCATCATATGATGCAAAGTGCAATTGATGGCCGATCCCTTGGAGCAATGGGCAGCCACACAGCCTGGGAGCTAAGTGGGCCAGGGGATATCAGCCACCAAGCTGGTGTCCCCCAAGCAATCTTCCAAGGCCTAGGCCAGCTGCCCTGGGCCTGCACAGGCAATGGGGCATTTCCTGCCAAAGGAGTTGAATGCCTTAGGCACGTGCTAAAACTAGGCCCTTCACCCTTTCTGAGCGCATTTACATATGTTTGTGTGCTTGCATGTATTTGCAAGGGTTTATATATACTTTTGCAAACATGTATTTTTTCATATATTCATAAACAAATACATACATGTGAAGAAGGAAAGCACCACCCGCACAATGCGCACTCGCCAGCGCGGTCCCATGCACCACCTGAGTCCAAAATAATTATTACTATGGGATTACAGTCAATATTGCAAAATACCACAACCAATGGGTTAATATACCAGTGCCTTTATAATATATTATACATATGTTTGATAATCATACTCTGATGCAATATGTAATTTAACTCTAAGTGACTAACACAAAATAATCTTAATATAAACAGCATTGTAATTTTCAGTAATTATCATTGTATACAAAAACCATTTTGACATCATCTCTTCCTGCTACCTAGCTGCAGAGATTTGGGGAGACAGACAATCTGGACTCTTTGTAATGACCACTAAAATTGGGGTTTTGAAAGATAAAACATCTTGTCCAACTTGTTGTACGTTATGAACATGGTATTTGTTAAATAATTCAACAACCCTTGAGTGTGATGCTTTAAATGACTGCAATTAAAAGCAAATCAAAGACTGAAGTTATAAACAAAGACTCCAATATACAATACATTCTTCCAGGTTTGTTATTGTATCCATTATCACTTTAGTTTGCAGTCTGTTTAACTAAGCTAACGAAAAAAATGTTACTGTTCTGTTTGTGTAATGCTGTTACTTTGAGTAGTATAGGAGGAATAATTTTAGATATATTTAATAAAGATTTTGCATGTATTTTGATATCTGTAATTGTTATAGTAGCCAGGATAAACAAAGATGTTGTAATCATTCAAAAGGTTGTTCAAGTTTGTTTTTTGGCATAGCTTTTAGTAAGTTTTGTTGAATTTCTTTAATCCCTGTAGTCAGATGGTGATCAATTGGTTGAACCTGTATTTTTTGACATTTAATTGGAGTTGACTAAATTGAGCAAAGCCTCTCTAGAACTGGCAGGCTGTTTTCCCTTTTTTTCTATTGGAAGGCAGGGTGTGATTGAGTAAGTTTTGTACTGTTTGGCAAGTTTCTTCCAGATACACATCACTCCAAATCTGTATGTGTAAGTACTTCATGGCACTTTTTACAAATTAATGAATGCAATGAGTACAAAAGAATTCATGTGATGTGTAATATATAGCACAAATGCCTCCATTTTCCCAAATATATTCGCTCTCTCTCCCGTCCATTTCCATGAGACATACATTTTTTGGTGTGTAAAAATGAGCTCTTTTGTAAACATGATTATTTGTTGTGTGATGAGCTCTTTTGCATTCTTTTCTTTCTTTCTTTCTTTCTTTCTTTCTTTCTTTCTTTCTTTCTTTCTTTCTTTCTTTCTTTCTTTCTTTCTTTCTTTCTTTCTTTCTTTCTTTCTTTCTTTCTTTCTTTCTTTCTTTCTTTTTTTCTTTCTTTCTTTCTTGTTAGTTTTGGATCTATTTTGTTTTGCATGTTAGTTTTGGATCTATTTTATTTTGCATGATTGGTCTATGCTTTTACATGATTATAATATTCCATTTAAGTGTAGACTCCCATATGTTTTTGTAAAGGGACCATGCATCCATTTTAGACATAAATTTTAAGCAGGAATAAATACAAAAAGCAAAAATGATTTTATTCAAACCTCGAATACCTATTTAGTAGTGAATTGTATGACATTTTCATAACTAAAATGTCTGACTATTCTACATTACATGTGCCACTCTTTAGATTTACAGACTAGGAAAGGTATGTTTCTCTGCTGTTAACACATTTTCTGTGTGATGGATGTTATTAATTCTCATATATTCGCCCAATGCTATTGGGGATGACATATATATACATGCCATGCCTACAGTGAGTTTAGTTTATTACACATAGATGGGTCTACAGATAATGAGTCACCAATGAGCTAATTACTAATACTACGTATCTCACCTGTTTACCCTTTTAGCAGTTAAAAAGAAAGAAAGAAAAGAAGAAAAAAAATCTGCAAACTCAAGGAAAGATGGAAATAGATGAGGTCACAAGGTCTACTAGTTAACTCCTTTGTGGGTAAGCACTTTTGGAGCCATCTGTGAGCAGACACATTTCAAAGAACATACTAAAGTGAACGCTATTTTCCTGGTGATGTGATTAGTAAAAACATTTATACTTAGAACATCTGTATGTTATTTATATATAAAATATTGAGAAGTGTAATGATAATGTAAGAAGAAAAATAAATGTCTATCGAAATAAGTTAGTAAAAATAAGTGGTTGAGTTTAGCATAAGTTTGAAAATAGTAGATACTGACAAAAACTGTGACATCTCATTGCTCCATGATATTTTTAAAAAGTTTAGTCTAATACCCCAAAAGATATCCCACTGTTGTTCTAAAATTAGCCAAAACTAATATTTCTGTGAAACTTGATTTTTATTTCTCCTCAAGTTTAATACCTTGAATGTATCTCCCAGCAGAATCATTCTAATCTCTGCTGGAGACAGTATCTATGTAAAACAATAATAATTTATCCTTATCCCAATGAGAAAAAAACGGATTTATATTTGTAAAATAATTGTTGAAAAGAATTTACAAGACAAACAAAAGTGGGTGAATGCCTTCCAATACAACCTACAGGTAAAGCATGATCTAAGTATTTAGTATCCTCATTTACTAGAAAAGCAACTGAGTGGACCGTGTGGAAGTTCCCTTTGCATCCTATTTCTGTGAATTGTGAATGCATTCCCCCTCCCTATTTACAGTAACATAAAACAAAGGAACTAGGTAGGGAGAATAAACTTAATGGACATAATACTTCAAAAGGTCCCTCAAAACAGATTTGACTATGATACGGAAGAAAATGAAAGTATTTAGTGATGACCTCTGGGAGACGTGGAGCATGAATGAAAATTGAAGCGTAATTTGGTGGGACTGTAGGGCAGGTAAGCAAGCAAGTAATACTAATGGATGTACATTACATAAGCACATGAAATGGGCTTATCAACACAAATTACAGTGGGTGTAATTAAGGTAAAAAGTTTTTAGACTATTTTCACCTATTGCAAGATGTGTACAGAACACAAGTCACTGAATGCTTTAGACTGAAGATGAACAGTGATATGGTTATTCCAATTGTACCCAATCCCAACGACAAAGATAATGAAGTGTATCCTTTTAGTTTCTGGCATGACAAAGACAGTCTGCTTGAGAAAAAAGTTGAGTACTTCAGTATACAGGGAAAGAAAGAGGAGCCTGTCGATACTAACCAAAAACAAATGTAACTTTATCTGCAAAGGAAACACAGAAGCTACACCTGTCAAAGATGACTATTGTTTGACTCCCCTGAAGCATTTACTCTGGACAAACCAATATATAACAGGGGTCATGATAGGGATCCCAGTTTGCCAGTGAATGCATCTTCTAATAAGGATCAACCAATGCTGATCAGGTGTTTGGACTTCATTGGTAGTGTCACCAGTCTGCAGTTGATGTTTATATGTATGAAAAAAATATGGAGAGCAGGCAGATCTAAAGTAAAGGGAGTGTTGGTACTGGACAGCAGGTATCAAGCGTTATGGGGAAAGGAGGAAGCAGGTACATGATGCCCAACAACATGAAAAAGGTAATCCACTTAATATCCCTGAAGTTGCACTTTTACAAGTCATGGAAAACACTATTGGTAGGGATTAAATGGGGAATTTGAGAGAGGCTTTAGAAAGGTAAGGAAAGGACAGGATCTGGACCTACCAAATCACCAAATGGAAAAAAAGAACAAGATAAGAGTTGCCTTAGACTGCATGTTAATCTTTAAGGGAATTACAATGAAACACAAGGGTGCTGTAGGGATAATATTCCTTAATGACCTTGGGACTCTAATCCCTTTCAGTGGTAGCAAAAGCAGTTGCAGCACAGAAGCAATGTTTTACCAAGTGTTCGTAAAGACTGTGTTTCTGGTCACGAAAGGGGTTCCACATCAGATGACTGACAATCATCATCATCTAGGAGCTAACGCTGACAGGGGCGCATAGCCGCATCCACCCTTTGTTTATACCAGCGAGGATCCCTCGTGGCAAGCCGCCAGGCAGGGACTCAGCCCATCTTCACGACAGGTTTGATCGATCTGCCCAAGCCACGACTTACTAGGTCATCCCACAGGCCTCCTCCACCCAGGGCTGTCTCGAACAGAGACAACCCGATGGGCAGGATCATCCTGGGGATCACTGATTGTGCTGGTAACAGGTCCTGTGCCAGTCTCATGGTGCAACCATTGGTTGGACACATGGTCCCACCAATAGTACCTCATGATCCGGCACAAGGACCTACTACAAAAGGCTTCACAACGAGACTCGAAGGCACAGGATAATGTCCAGGTTTCACTACCATATAGCAAAACTGGCTTTATCAGGGCCTTGAAAACCCGTAGCTTGGTCCTTCTGCACAGGTACCGACATCTCCAAATACTCTTGTCGAGAGAGTTCATGATCCCTGCTGCCAGGCCAATCCGTCTGCCGACTTCCTGGTCTGACAGCCCAGAGTTATGAACTATACTACCAAGGTAAGTAAAGCTCTCTGTGACTTCAATGTCCTCGCCGCAAGCACGTACCGACTGAACAGGTTCTCCTAGCAAGCCCCCAAAGTCCTGGACCTTGGTCTTGCTCCAGGAGACCTCTAGACCCAAGGGTTTCACTTCATTGCGAAATGCATCAAAAGCCACCACTAAGGTTTCTAAAGACTCAGATAGAATGGCAACATCATTAGCAAAGTCAAGGTCCGTAACCTTGATATTGGCCAGAGTTGCTCAACAATGACCTTTAATAGTAGCTCTGCCCAGTATCCAGTCCATGCAAGTGTTGAAAAGAGTTGCTGCAAGGACACAGCCTTGCCTCACTCCTGAACTAACAGGAAAGAAGCTCGACAAGCCCTCACCACACTTTACAGCACTTTCAGTACCAGTATACAGGCTTGCTATTAGTCCAATAATCCTTGTTGGAATTCCTCTCAGTCTCAGGATCGCCCAGAGTGCTTCCTGATGCACCGTATCGAACGCCTTCTTGAGGTCGATGTAGGACCTGAACTCACGGCGGCGCACTACAATGACTCGAAGCGCAAGGATACGGTCTATTGTTGACTTACCAGGAGTGAATCCAGATTGCTCCGGCCTCTGGTGCCTCAGCAGGTGGTCTCTGATATATTTCAGAAGGATGTGGGTGAGAACCTTGCCTGGTACACTGAGCAGTGTGATGCCTCGGTAGTTGCTGCAGTTCCATCGGTCCCCTTTCCCCTTCCAGAAACAGCATGTAACCCTCGCGCCATAGGTTCACCACCAGTCTTTAACAATTCAGCTGGTATGCCGCAGACACCTGCTGCTTTACCACTCTTCAGCTTGGAAATCGCCCCCCTAACTTTAGGCAGGGAGGGAGGATTCTCACTGATGGGTGGGTCCGGCAACGGAATCT